ACCAATGGGACTACTACTACAGATTTGAAAAAAATATTTCAAATCTCTAGAGATAAATGCCAATGTTTTAGACACATAATGAATCAAATATCTGCAATTCTAATAGCAAATGCCTAATCTGATGTAAATAAATGTACACTCTCATGATCCTGCAGATTTTGCTAGTGCTAAGCTTTATGTAATATGAGAAGGGCTTGATAAGGAACTCCTGTATTTTTTTTAAAAAAGCAATAGCAGCCTCCAAACTCTCTGAATAACATTGGGACTACAATAATAGGTATGTATGCATGTACAATGTGTTCAACACTCCTCTGAAACTGCTGTGTGCTATACAGGAGAGAACACACACCATTTCACGATAAAACTATAAATACTGTGCAATAATGAACATCTTGGGTAAGAGACATTACAGCAAGGGCCAGAAGGAACAAAGTCTATCAGTGCATTTAAAGGTATAACTTTGTTTGCTTAGCAATTTTCTGAAAAACTTGGAAAATCACAAATAATTGGAGAAATGTAATTTCTTTTGAGCAGATTTATGTAGATAAATGTCATTTACTGTTCTAGCTCTCTAGAACAATTCAAAAATCTAGCCAACATTTAAAAAATGGTTTCCAACTGTCTTTCACCAAGCTGGACTGAAATGGAATAACTGTATATTTTACATGTTTTTTTTAAGCACACACCCTAAATATCACCAATATTAACAATATTTATCCACACAAATAGGAACAGGACTTACCTTTGATGTCATAAACACTATCTGCAAATGTAGTCTACATCAAGTCAGAACTAATGAAGAGTTCATTAGTTCTCATGAACAAGAGTTAGTTCATTTTTCTTGCCAGATTACATTAAATATATTCCCACAAAGAAAATTCTGGTATAATTAAATGTACAGGATTTTACAATATGATAATTAGGCCTGTGTAAACCATTCAGATAGAAACTTCACAAATGCATTGCTTCAGTGGTAGGCCTGGTAGAATTGTCTTCTGTACATAAACATGCATGGTCAGAAGACTAGGAAAGGGTCTCAAAGTAGTTATGTCTTGCCTTTGAGAGACATGGGTATTTCAATTCTGTGAGCTGCAGGTTTGAGTAAATACTTTATGAAATGCCCCTCCAAATGGCTTGCATAGCACTGAATTATTATAGTAATAATCAATCAATACAGTTTCTGAAAAGAAGAAAACTTATGAAAGGTAGCTAGATTAGCATATTTCTATAGCTTTAAAGGTAGGAGATAATTACAAGCCTCTTGTTTAGTACTTCCCTCTAAAAACTTAGAAACACTAAATATCAATAGAAATCTTGTTTTAAAACCATCATATACTAGCACAACTATATATCAACATTAAAATGCAATTGTTCTTACAAATCTTCTTTGAGCATGACAAAGATTGCACTTGAATATAATTCTAAAGTCTATACTATGCATCCCCCAAAAATCTGAAGACAACCAAGAGATTATAGTAGAAAACTCCTTACTATATCAAACCAGATCTCACTGACCAAATTTCGAAAACTACAAACAAAGCAGGTTTTGCCCTACCTCTAGCTCCAGCCATGGCCAGGAGGAAGAAAATATGCACTTAAGAAATAGAACTGAAAAGAGTTCTTCTTAATTCTCAATCCCTTTATAACTAGATCCAGATTCAATACTCTGTGCAGTTTTTAAAAAACTTGATACTCATACAATTTTAAGGTAGCTTTCAATGAAATCCATGAACTTTTGCATAACTAAATAAGATTCATTATTGTAGTCACATTATTCATTCCTATGAATAATAACCAACACAGTAATGAGATTCCTAAGTAAAAGAAACAAAGAAAGTATTAAGACATAATGTTCGGTAATTATTCAGAATAAGGAATTATGAACATTTCCAGGAAATTGAGCACCTCCACTATCACTTGCAAAGAAATACAAGTTTGAATTTATACTACAAAATACTGAGCAACCAAGAACGTTATTTATGTAATTTTTATACTGCCCCACACTCCTAACTTTGGGTGAGTCAGCAGAATCTCAACAGCAATCTTACCATACAATGACATCAATAAAAACAAAAAATGATATATCTCATAAAAGGTCCTCTTAAAAGAAGGTTTTCAAAAGCTTTCTAAAAACCAGGAGAAAAGTGGCCAAAAGTATCTCCAGGGGCAGTATGTTCTATAGCATTGGACCACAACTAAGGCGGCTTGTCTTCTGGTCCACACCTCCCTTCATGTGGGCAGTGCTATCCTTAACAGGGCCCCTCTTGATGGTCTAACAGGATGGGCAGAGTCATTGTAAATAAGGCAATCCTTATTGTAACCCAGCACTATACTTCATAGAGCTTTATAGGTTATGACCTGTCTTTTGAATTGGGCCTAAAATGCAGCAACCAAAAAATAGGTATTCTACCCACCAGCAAACTAGCAGCTCCATGTAGTGTGCTGTATTGATCCAACTGTGTGATAAGCATATGAATCACTGTTGCCAATGCCTCCTGCTCCAGGCAGGGCTATAATTTCTGCACCAGCAGTAACTAGCCAAAGGCCTGCTTAACCACAGCCTCCCCCAGCAGGAGTCAAAAAGGAACCCCAAGTCACAAACCCATTCCTTCAAGGAGCAATACCTTGTCTAGAGCCACAGCCCCAATCTCACATAATGTGACTTTCATCCAGCTAGCACCAGGGCAGTACTGGTCATTGCCTGGATCTCCTAAATCATTGTGGCCACCCCACTCTTGGCATTATGGCTCATGCAGGACCTGAAACTTGCAAGAACAAGTTTCTGACAGGAGAACTTCCTCATTAGTGCCTAACCAAGTCTAATAATATATGACAAGTCTGCATGCTCATCACCATTGCATCATATATGGATACAGTTTCATTATGTACAGACCTGGCATTTACTAGCACTGGCCTGAGTTTAATCACTGAATAATCTGACCACCAGAATGCTGGGTTGGGGCAACTGGGTTAGAAGAGGGGACCTGTACCAGTGTGCAAGTGGAGGTCCCCCTTCTCCTGCAGTGACCTACCCAGCATCCTCCCTGTCCATCACTGTCACAATGTAAGCCAAATCTCTTCACCCACAGAGCCATTGCCCAGCACACATACCTAGCTATTCAATACCTCTGGCCCTATAAGGTTCTTCACATTGATCTGTAGGTGTAGGAGATCTTCATTTTGACATGTATATGTGTATCAGTATATTTCTGAAGATATAATTGGATAAATTCTAAAATTAACAAGGTCAGTCAGCTTTTAGAACGTGCAGATGTAATTTCATTTCTCTTGAACATGGTAAACTGAACCAAATGTAAAGAAAAACTTTGCATCTCATAATATAAATGTACCACATGTGTATATGTGTTAAAACACAGCTATAACTTTTTAATGTGCAATTTTATTTAACATTCTCTAGTTGATAATAGGCTATCTGTGTCACTGCTAATACATTAGTAATCAGTCCACATAAGAATGATGTCCTAACTGTGAGATATTTAGTCCTTGCTTTAAAAAACTGCAGCATCATCCCATGCCATATACCAGTGTAACAGTAAAATCACAGTAATGTTAAATTTCAATTAATTAAACAATCAAGGTATTATTAATTTCAGTAGATATTTCAAAGATAAAAATATAACTACATTAATTATTTTGTTCTTCTATGGTGTCCCTATCTCTCAAGACAATTTCCTTTCTGCAGGTAACAAAAACTGTAGAACTGCAGTTCTTTTAATAGCTGCAGTAGAAAATGACATTCATCAAGCTATGCAACAGAGCTAATACCTTCCAAAGAGTATGGATTATTAGCATTAACAATTTTTCTGCTCTCAAAAATAAGGTAAAAACTTGTATTCTGCTACTGTAGTGTTATGGAGAAATTCTAAGACTGAAATACATATACATAGTAATACTGCAAACTTGTAATGCAGTATTTTTTTTTTTGCATTGTGCAATGTTTAATGTAACCAAAAACAAACCACAGGACAGCCAATTCACTGAGAATACAAACTACACATGTACACAATATGGAGCATAGTATTTATCTTTATAGACATTTTATGAATGTTGACAAATATTATAATTTCCTATACTAAAGATAAAACAAAGATGCTAGAAAACTAGAAAACTCTAGTTTTTTTAAAAATGCAGAATGAATCACTCTAATTTTAAAAAATTAAATGCTTACTAATCAAGGAAATAATTTACACTTACCAAGAATGAAAAGCAAAATTTTAGGCATCAGAGGAAAAAATTATGATTTAAAGTAAAAGAGCAAGCTTGGAAATGGAAACATTATATAAAATTCATACTATAAACCAGTACAGTTACAAAAATATATTTTGCAGGTTACATGAAAGTACAAATGAAAAACACAGTACCTTACCCTTTCTACTTGTCAACCATAGCATGCAATGACGAAACATAGCAGTAACAGATGGCATTGGAGTTAGTAAATACGAATAAAAAGGTAAATGGCAGCAGAATGATGATTGGCTGACAAGAGCAACGAAATATAGATGAAATAAATGAGAACATGTAAATCCTGAATCAGAAGTCCACCTTTAAATCAAATGTTCCCTCTGGTCTCACATTTAGATTCTATATCAACAAAAGCTGCAACCTTACATGGTCTTGTGGCTCTCTCCGTGCAGAAAAGCACAACAGCAGTTCTTGATATTAAAGACTGGTGGTGCTTTTTTTTTTTTTGGCAAGAAAACCCATCAACAAAAACCCATTATTCTCTCTCCCTTCACTGATACAGCCTTTAAATTTTTAATCTGCACATCCTGCCAAAGCTACAGCCTTTTCTAGCACATATGTATATACTGCAGATATAAATCCCTGCCTAACCCATAGTGCTCCTGACTCCAGAATGTTCTCTGTACATTTTCAAGCACTCCAGTTTCTACAGTATTTAAAATTATTCCATTAACTGAAAATCAGAACATTTTCTGTGATTGGAATTAATGTAAGAAAGAGCTTTTCTTTCAGCTCACCCTGGAAATGGAAGGTTTTCTGATCAACAGTTATTGTGAAGGTGCTGTCGTCTTCATCATCTATACCAATCACAGCTCCCTGTGAAACAAAGAGCAAAAATCCTGATAAGCAAAGCAGTGACATCAGCAGCATGCAGCCTACCCCTACACGACTAGAATGCAAAATTCAGACAAATTTTCTAAGGCTTACTGATTCAGTGTCTGAAAATTAAACATAATGTTTATTAAACTAATAGTACCTTACAGAAATTATATACTGTAGTTTTTCTTATATGAGACTGCAACATTTGATTTCAAAACCCAACCAAGAATTTTTTTTTAGAAATTACAAACTGAAAAAATAAGTTACTTTTCCTGCATTAAGAAGGCTTAGCATAAAATAACCTAAGCATCCTCAAATCCTTGATCTCACATGAGCTTGAGTGTTCATATAAAGCCATGTAGTCACATATATGAGAATTAGGGTCCTTCATAAAAATATAAAAGTGATCTCATATAATTTAAATGGTATGCTTAAAATATGCTCTTGTTTAATAGTTTTCAGACTACTATCACAATAGGTTTGTATCTGCAATTGTATAATAATTTAGATTCCACATATTCTTTCTTGGTATCTTGTAGCATTCACTCACAGTATATACAGATTCACTGAACAATACCTATATTGAACATTACCAATAGGAATAATTATCTGCAGGATTAGAGAAGAGTAAATTCAAGGACAGTCATAACTGTCTCATTTCCTTCTAGGCTACAGAAAGTTTCTTTGTGAGAGAATAACATCAACAATGTTTGCATGACTCAATCAGCAATATTTCTGTATTTCACTCAATAAACAATTGGCATTTTATAATGCTGTTTTTTTTAAATGGCAACACAATTGAGCTGGAAAGCTCAGGCACAGGAATGTAGCACAAGGAGATCGGAGAGAAAGATTAAGATGAGGAATATGCTGGGGAAAAACAGTGAAGGGAGGTCATGGAGAAGAATGAACAGGTTGGAAAGACTACATTGAAGCAGAGAGAGGGATAAATATATAGGGAGACACAGGAGGTGGAGCATTTGGAGACAAGAAAGAAGTGAATAGGAGAACAGACTTAAAAAGAGGGAGAGAAATGCATTACTAAGGCAGGTGAAAAAAATGCAATGACAAGTGGGCATGGTGAGAAAGTTGGGGGATGTAGGGGAGTGAGGGGCAATGGTAGGCTACCCAAATCCCATACTGGGCTGCATGTTGACCAGAGGTTGCAGTTTCTGTATTCCTGTTATAAGGTATTCTCAACATCATGCTAGAAGAATAGTAATTGACTCCAGAAACTAGATTAAATAGCAACCCATTTTTTGCTTGTTATATTACTAGTAAGGTCTGAGGAGATGATTACCAAATGTGCAATGATACAAAACTAGGAGAAATGGCTAAGACTTCTGAAGAGTAAGAAGACTCAAAAAAGTCTGGACAGACTTGACCAGAGGGTCAAAATGAACAGGATGAAATTTAACAGGAATAATCTGGGTGGAAAAAAAATGAACGGCACAAGTACAGGATGGGGGAGAGTTGGCTTGACAGTAGTATACATGAAAAGAACCTAGGTGTTTTAGCAGATCACAAACTGAACACAAGCCAATAATATGGTGCAGCTGCTAAAAAGGCAAACACTATTTAGAGTGTATTAAAAGAATCATAGATTCCAGATCACAGAAGATAACTGTCACATTCTACTCTACCTTAAGTCCCACTGGAAATTATATGTCCAGTTTTGGGCACCAATCTAATAAAAAACATAGACAAAGTGACCTGTGAAGAACTGGCTAAAGAACTGGATTATGTTTAGCTTACAAAACAGAAAACTGAGGGATATATTAGGATATCCCTCAGTTTTCTCTTTTGTAACCAAACCTCAAGGACAAAACTTGAGGTTTGGTTGGCATGAATTTTTATGGTATGATAAAGTTAAAGCTAATGTGGAGTTTAAAAATCACTATGTCAGAAATGCCATACTAAGAATATGGAACAAATACAAACCCAGGCTGTGTCTGAAAATAACTTTATTGATCTCAGTATAGGAAGCATTTTATAGAGGAACAGAGGAATGAACAATAGACAGAGTGAAATGGTTAAAATATCAGGATTTATTAATACAGGAAGATGAAGAACTTAAGATGAAGTCAAGAGAATAATTGCAGATGGACATAGTTTTCAATGGTTTTCATATGTACAAGCAAAAGAATATACAGGTAGTCCTTGTTTAACGACCACAATTGGGACCAGAATCTCAACTGTTGAGCAAAGCAGTCATTAAGCGAGATGCCCACATGACTGCTTCGCTCAACAACTGTAATCCGGGCATGTGATCTGAAATCCTCCTGGCAGGCAGCCCTTTCGCTCTCAAATGTTCTTGCACCCCACCTAAGTGCTTCTCCTTCCCTCCATCCCTTCCATTTGCAACCTTCCCTGCCAGCTTCCCGACTGACTTTCTGGGGAAGCCAGCAGAGAAGGTTGCAAAAGGCAATCACATGATCGCGGGGTGCTTGACAATCGGTTGTAAATGTAAGCCAGTTGCCAAGCCCCTGAAATGCAGCCACGTAACTGTGGGGGCAGGGAGGCCGGTGTGACTTTTTACGATGGCTGGAAGTGCTTTACGGGCCATAAAGCACCCTTTCCAAGGCTGTTATAACTTTGAACTGTCATTAAACGAACAGTCATTAAGCAAGGACTACCTGTACACAAGAGGATAATTGGAACTGAAAAACATAAAATGGAATTTGAAAATGAGTTATGTACAAATGATGAACATGTAATTGCAAAAATGTATAAACTTTTCTTAAGATTTGAAACTGAAGAGGAACAAGTTAAAGACTGTATGATAAAATGGGCTACCAATTTTGGCTATAATATACAGATGGATACATGGGAAAGAATGTGGGTAAGTGGGATAAAATTAACACTGTGTTATAATTTAAGAGAAAAAAATTACAAGATGATGTATCACTGGTACATGACATCAGAAAAATTATCAAAAATGTATAAAGGTACCTCAAGTCAATGCTGGAAATGTGAAAAACAAGAAGGGACATTCTACCATGTATGGTAGACTTGTGAAAAAGCCAAGAAATTTGGATACAAATACATACAATGATACAAAGAATTTTAAAGATTAATATAGCAAAGAAACCAGAACTTTTTTTATTGGGACTTATGGGTACTGAATTAGAAAAGACTCATAGAAGATTAATTTTATATATGGTAACAGTAGCAAGATTATTATATGCACAAAGATGGAAGAATATTGAAATTCCCACAATGGAAGAATGGATCGTAAAACTGTTAGAATTAGCGGAAATGGCAAAACTGACCTATTTGGTCAGGGAGAAAACAACAAGTGCGTTTTTAAAAGACTGGAAACCTTTTATGGACTTTTTCCTAAAAGAAGAAAAAAGTGAAATGATTTAATTATTGAAAAAGATGAGAATTTAATATGGGGTTGAAGGGATTTTGGATAGAGATAAGGAGGGGAGACGATAGGTTTGTCAATATCTATTGAAGAGAAAGTTGGAAGTCACTATATTTAATCATACTTTCTTTTTTTCTTTTTCTTCTTTTCTTGTAGCTTTTTATTGCACCTTTTTTCTTTCTTTTCTTTTTCTTTAGATTTTTCTTTTATTTTCTGTAAAACTGTCAATAAATATTAATAAAAAACTGAGGGATGATATGATAGCGACCTTCAGATTTCTAAAGAATGTCACATAAAGGATGCCGTTGACTTGTTCCCTTTCATTTCTCTGACTATATATCACCTTGTAAATACAAGATTAACATTTCCAATGTACAAAAAAACCTTGAATTTTTCTATTATTTGGGAGGTTAATATTTTAACCAAATATATCAATGCTTTGGACATTTATTATTATATTATTGTTGTTGTTAAACAGAAATGTTAAGAAATGCTGTTTTTTTTTTTCTGAACAAGTTCTACACATTTTCTTTTGCAATACTTTTATCTTTCAGGTTGGGATGTTGGGTTTCGAGATGTCTTCACAATTTTGTAAGATTGAGATTACTCTTACACAATACTTGCTCATAGTCACACATAGTCAAGTCATCACGCAACCCTAGAGTTCCACAGAATCAGTCTGAAAAACCCTGGATTAGATAACTTCCAATAACCTCTGAGGTTCCTTCCAATTCTGTGATTCTAGTACATTTTAACCAATAGTCCTCTGTATCTTTTCCATGAAAGTATGTACGTAGCATGAGAGGTAGTCTGTGGGGCTGGAATTGCAATTGCTAAACAATGCAGCTGTAAATTGCGACATCACATGACCGCATTGTTTAGCAATGGCAATCCAGACAGTCCTGGTGGCCATTGTAACCCTAAGATGAGCAAATTGTTAAGCAGGAAGTGGTAGGAATCCCAGATAAGGAGTGCAGGGATGCCGCAGGGGGGTAGTGCAGGCCACATGCGAGTTGGAAGAGAGGGGTGCTGCAGGAAGAAGCGTGCAGATGTGTGCAAGCAGAAGGATGCCAAGGGAAGGAGGACGCGGTGCAGTGCAAGCACAGGGAGGGGAAGGGAAGGAGGACATGGTGTGAGTGCAAGGAGACCAAGGGAAGGAGGATGCGGGTCCATGTAAGCACAGGAGGCTGAGGAAAGGAGAGTGTGGCATGGTGCAAGTGCAGGGAGGCTGAGAGAAAAAGGGCACAGTGGGAGCACAGGGAGGCCAAGGGAAGAAGGGTGTAGGTCTGTATGACTGCAGGGAGGCTGAGGGAAGAAGGGTGTGGCACAAGCACAGGGAGGCTAAGAAAGGTGGGCACGGATCTGTGCAAATGCAGGGAGGCTGAGGGAAGGAGGGCACCAGTGCATGCAAGCACAGGGAAGCTGAGGGAGGGAGGGGGCATCACGGTATGCAGGAAGGCCATGGGGGACTTACCAGAGCAACTTGCGACCTTCCCTGCTGACCTCCCCATTGACTTTGCTTGTGGGAAGCCGTCAGGAAAGGTCACAAATGGCAATCACATGACCACAGGATGCTGCAACTGTCTACATGTGAGCTGGTTGCCAAGCACCTGAATCATTATCACGTGACAGCGGGGATGCTGAGATGGCCCAAACTTTGAGGACCAGTTGTAAGTATCACTAGTTCAGCACTGTTGCAACTTTGAACGGACGCTGAACGAATGGTCAGTAAGCAAGGACTACCTGTGTTGTATAATCTATAATTGTATAGATCCTAAATCTACTCTGAAATAATGAAAGGAGTTTTGAAGATGCACCTTACAACCTACAGTGAATAATACTTTGAAGAAAGAAACAGAAAGATGTAATTCATGTTATATGATAATAATGAAGTGATTAGATCATGCCAGCCTGATTTACTTACAGTAAAACTTTACAATTTTTTACAGAAATACCAGTTGTGATCAACCAAGTTCTTGGTAAAAAATAAACATTGTTTCTGGGACTTTTATAAATGAAGCTAGCATTCCATGATGTGAATTAAGTTCTTGTAAGTAAGTCACAATGATTACAAATTCTTGCACAAGGGAAGAGACTTTGTCAAAGCCCAGTAGGTCACATGGGTTGCCCTAGCAGGCTGGAAGTTCCTCATTCCATTCACCATTACATCTAAATACAATCATTATTTCAAACAGCTCTTAACTGGAGTCTTAAAGACACAGGCATCTTCAAATAACAGACAAACCAAAGTTAGAACAAGAAAAAGAACATGAGAAGCTATACTTTTTGACAGACCACTACATTTTTGTTATGTTAAAGAAAGTAAAATTCTGTCTTAGTGATTAGTGTTTTCTTGCCCTATTAAGGCCTTTCAGAATTTTTTATTTTTATTTTTTTCTGAACTTGCAAGCATATAGTACTTTGTATGAAGGAGTATAGATTCAGTGTCAAGTCCAGTAAATATACCTACAAATGGACAACATAGAATATAGAAACACCGATTACTTAGTTCGATGGCAAATACGCATATGTGCAGTACTGCAATATTAATTGTCAATAAATAGACCTCTTGGAGAATACACTGTTTTACTCCTAAGTCATAGGCTTATTTCCCAAAATATTGTCATTTTGTACTTCTGTAAATTGACCATTTTTTCTATCCCATGCCTTATTAAATCCAACATCAAGCCTGAACAGATGCCACCAATAAGGAAAGATGAAAGCATAGTCAAGAATTCCAATGGTTAATTCTGCAATGATATTAGAGATAACTAAATCAGAAGAATTGGCAGAACTGGAAATTTATGACAGTGTTTTAAAGACAATAAGACCTTTCAATTGACTTTTAACATAAAAATAAACAAGAAAAACTGTTGTAACATGTATAAATTAAGATCTAATTCCAAGTCCTAATTATAACCATGATGGGTGTTGGCGTTAATGGGCTATTGTAGACTCCCTACTATGTCTTCAAAACTGATCATGCATATGTACAAACACTCTCAGAAAAAGCTATTTTATATACAGGATACTAGCACATTTTAATTATAATATTTTAGGGAGAACTGTGTTCTGTGCAGTCCAGAAGGAAAATATTAATGCCTTGTCCATGATAGAAAACTAATATAATTGATATCTTCATCTTTTTATACCATAAAGCACACTAGGAGAGGAAACACATAGAAACTCATTCAAACATGCACACATTTCAGAACAAGACACACACGGATTCATACGTCACACCAAAACACAACAGATATTGTGACACAGCTTGTTGTATGAATATACTTAATTTATAAACCATATTTTATGACTTAGGATGCTACGTGAATCCAACCAAATGTGGTTTACTTAATAAACTATTGTTAAAACAATCCAGTCACAGTCAGATTCAAACTGAACAGCCAAACTGAACAACAGAAAGCTGACATTGCTAAGCAGGATTAGTCCAAGACATTTTTCTACCATAGGTCAACCAGCAATGTGTTCTACCTGGGCCATCACTATCTCTGAGGTTAGCCTACTTCATCAGGTTGTTATAAAAATGAGCCCTTTAGCTTCTGGAGGAAGGGTAGAATATAAATACAAGTAAAAAAAAGAATATATTTGTAAACATTTACACAATTATACGTTATGCCATTTTAGCATATAAAATGGTAGGTTATGCACTGTATGGTGCACATGTTTATATACATATACTGTGGAAACAAAAAACATCCTGTATGTACCAAGTTTTGTACCAATTCCTATCACTCAGGCTAAAAATTCAAAATTGGGAAAAGAAATTCTCTGTTTCTATTCTGTCCAATCAATATGCCATCATCTTTGAATGATCACCGCAAAGAAAATGCATAGCAGCTTTATACATTTCTTGGCAGAAATAAATAACATTGAGACTTACTACTACATAAGAGAATATATAATTGCCAATTTATAGCACATACATTTATTTTAAAAATCCAATTCTGTTCAATATGATTTAGGCAAAGTGTGAAAATAAGTGTAGCACAATTCTCTCCCTCATCACCTGTCTTCTGGTTGCTGTGTAGACCTTAATTTCACAGTCTACCCAAAACCTTTTCCCTTAGAAAATAATTAACAATAACAGGGGACTATTATACTTCAGTAGTATTCATACACTACTATACCTTCCTCCTAGTAATATAGAAACTCTTGCCATTGCTGTTATCTAGTCTATTTCCCAGGAACAGGAACAGAAACAATTTACGAGCAGTAATCAAGCTGTAATCCAAAAAGTTTGGTCAAAGTGAACTGAACATGTTCTTTCCTTTCTCCATGAAAGCTGAGTAAATTGGCCATGGGAGCAGCCATTTGGCCCAGTGGTAAATTCAGACTTGGTCAATACAATTCTACAGACCCCAAGCACTTTGCAACTGAGTAATTATTAATTGTATTTATATTAAATAGAGGAAATGTAAAGTTGATTTGTTTATGTTTTATGTTGAACATGAATACACAAAGCATCTCAGGCTTCCAGCCCACAAAAAAATATCTAAGAAATACTTACTCTTAATCTAACACAGCCTCTGCGTGATCCTCGCATCATTTTATCTTTTGACTGAAATAGAAAAATAATATTCAGCTTAAAAAAAGTTCATCAACTGTTGACATCACTGTTGTAGTTCTTAACATAGTATGCATATTATGGAAAGAAGATATACCAATTAACACATAATATATCCATTCTGGCCATATTGTGACACAGGTAGTCCTCAGATTACAACAGCAATTGGGACCAGCATTTCCATCACTAAGCGATGTGGTCATAAAGTGCAACATCATGTGACTGCATCACTTAGCGGCGGCAATCCCAGCAGTCCCGGTCACTGTCGTTACCCAGGACTGCACAGGTCGTTAAGTGAGGACCTCATGTGACCACAGAGTGGGAAGAGGCGGGAATTCCAGGAAAGCAGGCCAGTGGGTAAGAGCTGCGGGTGAGAGCTATGGGCAAGGGGTGGGTGCCACAGACAGTCACTAGGGAGTGCAGGTTGGGGGTGAGTGCCACGTGCGGGCACTAGGGACCACAGGCAGGGGGTGGGTGCCATGGGCAAGTGCTAGGGACCGTGGGTGGGGGGCTGCAGACAGGCGCTAGGGAGCACTGGCAGACAGGTGCCACCACCCTGCTGGGAAGGGAAGGGGCCACAAGTCCTCCACATCACACCGTACTGGCAAGGATCCTCCCACCAGGCAGCAAGATGGGGACGTTTTTGCAGCACCTCCCCTGCACGTGGCTGGGATGCCTGATGGCAATTCCTGGCATCTACTCAGCCGAGAGCTTCCCTCATGACAAGGCAGCCAGAGGGGGAGGTAGTGGCAAGGGCCCCTGCACAGCATGGCCAACAGAGTCCTCACACCATGGGGCTTGAGACCAGATAGAGTTGGCGAGCCCAGCAGAGGGGAGGCAGGCGAAGAAGATGACAAATGTTAGCTGGGGGCAGGGGGGAGCAGGGGTCATAAGTGTGGGCTGGTCACCAAGCACCCAAATTTTTATCACACAACTGTAGGGGTGCTGTGATGGCTGGAACTTCGAGGACCGGATGTAAGTCCATTTTTTCAGCACTGTCATAACTTTGAATGGTCACTGAACGAATGGTTGTAACCCAAGGACTACCTCTAAAATCTAGAAACATATACAAAGCAGAACAAAAGTGACTGCAAAAGTGACTTTTTTACTCTTAAAAAAAAGATAATTGAAACTGAACAAAACCGTGCAATACCCAAAATCTGAAGCAAAGAGTTAAGGGAATAAAAAGGAAAAACTAAAACCAAATGAAGTTATTTCAAACATTTATATGTATGTAGTATGACATGAGTAGCTGAGCAATATAACCTTTTCCCAGTCCTATTTACATGGTTTGTTAATAGGAAAAGCTAATAGAGTTGGGCAGAGATCCAGATTCAAGCAGAAAAAAGTGATTTGGAGCACTCATACATGCACACATAACTCCTGCTCAGAACATTTTAAAGCAGCTACTGTATATTATTTTCTGGGCTCATGCAGCTGCCTCTATAAAGAATATACAAAAATAAATGTCAAGAGATCCAAAGACAGCAAACATAAGGCACGACACTGACATTTTATAACTAAAGTTTTAATGATACCATTTCTTCTATACCACATATTTAACTTTGTTTAGGATAATTGCAAATATAATTAGGAATCACACCACCAAACATTTTATTGATAGTTAAGTATGCTGGATACTATATACACCTATCATATTCATATCAAGAAGAATTTGATCCAGCTCACATGAAGAACAGATGATGAGATACACCTACATTTTAGACTGTAAGAAGTGATTCGTGCAACTGAATGCTTTTTTCATATAATACTTTCAGTTCCATGCACGTAATAACCTTTTCCCAAGAATGCTTTTAGTTTTTGTCAAGTAGCACCTCCATCATGCAAGCTCTCACATAACAGTTTACCAGCTCATCTGCTGTTCCTGAGAAATAGGCTTTGATTAGTAGAATTTGGGGGAGAAACTACAGATGAAAGAATATGGGAAATGAACAATAAAGCAGTTTGAAAAACAAATCCATTGACTTTAGTCAACTGCAATTTTGACTGGGAACAGCATGTGGGGAAGAATTAAAACTATCAGCTACACATATATTTAAAATAATACAGTATAAATAAATTTCCTTCAAGTCAAATTCAGCTCCTGGTGACTCTGTGGATGCATCCATGTAGTTTTTTTTGGCAACAATAGAGAAATGATTTGCCATTTTCTTCTAAAGGAATTTTTTTTTTTACTTTCCAGTCTAGCCTATAGCTTTGGTATTTCTGGTGATGTCCCATCCAAAAATGAACAGCTCCGACCCTGATTAATTTTTTTCAAGTACAGTACAACCAAGATCACCGAAATGCTGCCACCTAGCTGGCAAATTTTAAAATGTGAATGATAAAAATCTAATCTCTTCAGTAGTAGAATTGCTGCTTCTGCTAAGAGTTTGATAGCAACAGAAGTTTAACCTCACTGACACCACAAGGAGAATTATACATGTTTCTCTATGCATAACATAAATTAGTGATGCGTGAAAAAAAATTAAGAGTTAGGAAATAATTCCCAATAGGAATTAGGAATTAGGAAATATGCTTTTTTTGACTATGTGCACAGATATAAAGGAACTACTGTGCAGAGGTGGTTTGAAATACAGGATCTGCTGCTCCTCCTTGAGCAGCAGGTGGAAATCATGTTTAGGAGAGCATTTGTACAATTACACCTTTTACATCAGTTGGAATCCTTCCTGAATCTGGAGACATTGCACAGAGTCACTCATGCATTCATCAGTTCCCAAGTGGACTATTGCAATTCACTCTACATGGGGCTGCCCTTGAAAACCTTCTGGAAGCTTAAACTGATTTAACACACAGCGGCTCCAGTAGTGATGGGCACCTGTAGATTTGCCCACACAACATATCTATTCCAGGAGCTGCATTGGCTGCCAGTCAGCTTAGTGCAGTTCAAGGTTAAGGTTATCACGTTTAAAACCCAGCACAGCTCTGATCTTGGTTATCTTCAGGACCACCTGCTCTAAGATCCAATGCCCTGCTGAGACTTCCATTCCCATAAGGAGTTGCATCTGCAAAGACCTTGATGTAGGGCATTCTCAGTGGTGACGCCCCTCCTGTGGAGTAACTTGTCCTTATATAGAGAGACCATCACCTCTCTATGAGCTTCTATATGAAGTGAAAACCTGGTTCTGGGAGCGATCATTTGGGGGATGTTAAGTTTAGAATCTGCCCCACTGGATTATGCTATTATATTTGTTCTGTTGTTTAATCCTCATTTTTGCTGCATGCCACCCTGAGCAATTTTGAGTAAAGCAGCATAGAAATGTCAGCAAATAAATAAATGAACAGATTTTCTGATTTTGAGGAGATCCCAGATAATCAGTCTATATTATTATTTTCTGAACACAGAAGTTGTTAGAGCTCACAACAAACATGGAACTGATCCATGAATATGCTTCACTATATATCTACAATATAGCTATTATTTATTTTTATTCCTTTCTGTCCCCTGAAAAGTAAAATTTCACAAAGTCACAAATAATTTAAGAATAATTTTAAAGTGATTCAAGAGCAATCAATGTCTTATCTCTACATGTCAGTGCAAAAGAGCAATCTTGCTAAATTACTAGGAAAAGTTCTAAAGGAGCTATTTATTAAACCATAGCAGACAGCTGCCCTCTCAAAATGTCAGCTGTTAAAAAAACTGACACAGGAAAAAGGTTCTGATCTGGCAGGTTATTTATTCTGCCTTGTACTAGACACAATTACATAAACTCCTAGATATATTATCATAGAACTAAAAGGTTACCTAACACTTTCAAAGTGTTTCTTTACTCCCATTACAGATGCTTAATTGCAGGTAAAAACACCTCATCTAGTCAGATTTCCAAGCCCCATTTTAATTAAAGTTGCTACTACCCAAGCAGTGTGATTTTATTTCTCTTAATGTGGCTAAGTTTTGTTTTACTGTTGTAAAAGACATCATACCTTGACCATACTAGTTTTATAATGCACTTTACTGTGGCTTTTACTTGCTGTCTCACACTTTGTTTTCTTTTTCTTTTTGAGTTGGTCTATGAGTGCCATAAAGTATCTATGTATCCAAATGTTGTAGAAGTATGCTACTTTGTTACAACAGATTAAAGCATTCTTACATAATTTCCTGAATGAGATCACTGCATTCTATTCTCACAGATATGTTATAGCCCTTTATTTGAAGAAACCTGATACTTCATGTGCCTTCAGATCAAGGTCCTTAGCTTGAAGCAGAAAATATGTGCCAAATAAGAAACCATTGTTTTCACATTTCTGCTCTTGCAGGATTTTTGTGCTTTCTAATTGCTTTTAGTCCTCAGTAAATTGGAAACTTACCCCATACAATCTGGAAATTCCTTTTACACTACAGTTGCATGAGATGAATTCTAGTAATAAACTGTTTGTTTACTTTGTTCTGAATCTGAGTTTATATAACAGGAGAAAAAAGGAGGTAGGAGGAGAATAACTTGCTATCAACACCCATCCCAGCCTGCCAAACCCCTCCCTAGCATCTTCAATGTCTGAGTTCAGTAACTTATGTCATTTGTGTAAACACAAATATATAATGACATAGAAATGACACACATTTTACAGATGTTTTAACATTAAGGTGAAATTAATGTAAACTGATCTATCTTGTCCAGACTACTACAGATGCAATGGATTTGGCCATTATTTTTTTTTGGGGGGGGGGATGTCTAAACAGAAATGTAGTTTGTTCCATTCTATGCTTCCAGGTATTTTGGACTATTAATCCCATATACCTCATCTAGAGTGATTAGAAAGTATATTCTAAACACTTGGAGAACAGAAATTGTATAGATTTAAACTAGCCCTTAATCTCAAAATCCTACATCAGGACTTAGCACCTATCTCATTGTGGTAAAAGAATCAGATTGGGTATTTCTACCTCACCCAGTATTATTTTATCCAACTGCCACTTCTTTTCCTACTATAACTTCTATTCCAATAATAAATCAATATGTGTGTGTGTAATCACTCATACTCCACATAGTCAATTTTTATTATTATAAATCATACCCTTAAGATTACTAAACAATCACATTTTCTCAGTGAAGATATTAGGCAATGGTAAATTTCTTCCTTCCTTCTATGGTAGATAGAACACTCTCATTTATATATAATTTTTGTTAGTTTGTTTCTTTTACTTAATACAATTCTAACCACTCTTCAAGACCATGGTGCTTTCATAGCAGCTTACAGAATAAAAAAATGCACAGGACACAGTTATGAAAAATTGGTGTTTGCACAATGTCTTCAGTAGTTAGAGTATTTGCTTTGCTTCTTTTGACACACTATTTTGATTATCCTGCTGCTTGTGCTATTTAATGAGACTTTTGCCTAGATTCTTCTTTAAATTATAATTTTTATTATGATTTTACATTATAAATTCATTGCAGTTACTCTGAATTGTTCCCTGAAGATAGTGGTTTAACAATTATATCCACCAAAAAAAGTAAACTGGATACTGGAGTAACAGACAGAAATAGTTACAGTTTTTTATATCAAGGTGAACTTGCTGCATATTGTATATAATTCTAGTACCTCACAACAAAACTGGAGGAGGTATAGAAATATGCAACAGAATTGTCCAGGACACAAAACAGATAGCAAAAAATTAGCAATCAATTTTAAAGTAAGTCTCTCTGAGGTAAGTGTATATAGAGTAGCAGCCCAAACTAGCTTTCATAAAAGAGCAGTTTCCACATCTTCCATAATATTTAAATTAGAGGACACATATTAAGTTAGTCTGAACAAATTAAAATCTAATAAACTGGAGGGAAGAGGGGAATTAATATCTGACAAAGTATGGTATGCAGAAAGCTAGCTGACTGTCAATTTCACTTAATCTTAAAACATTAACATCTTGCTACATAGGAAGCCATATACATACATACATACATACATACATACATACATGCCAACGAGTGATTATTTTTCACTAGCACACAAAGAAAATACCTGTCTTTACTCTAGCCTGTTTGTAAATGGGCTTTGCTGGCCACTGCAGTACAGAGAATACTATGCTAGCTGAATCTTTTTTTCAGACATAAACTGCTGCAGAAAAAGCATGGTGCTACCTAAGAATCTTTATCATGGCATAACTTCTTGTATACTTCCTATTTTTTCTTACTGATTTTTCATTATGTGAGAGAAACCTTAGTTGCTAGTACTTGTGGTATACAAATTTATTATCAAAGATATCCTAGTAGGAGATGATGTAATAAACCTTATAACTCAGTTTCGGGCTTATTTAGATGGAAGCTTCAGAGTTCACTGGGGATTAATTTCAAGTTTGTATGCACAGGATAGACACTTAAACTGACAGAGGGAAGAAATTATGTACTTGTACAATACTCTCATCCAGGAGTGTAATTCCACCCTCAAATACTATCACACTAACTGTTCCAGTATTTACTTATGGGAAAATCTACGTATGTCAAAAAAAAAAAAGAGTTCACTTTCCACATCCACTAATCTGTTTTGGACTAGTGTTTCCCCACTCATTTCACAAACGAAACAGTGCATTCCAAGTACCAGGCCGGGCGCTTTAACCTCCTCCCTTCTTCCGTCGCCGTAGGTTAAATGTTACTCTCCCGCACGCCCCCTTCATATAAATCTTCCAAAATTAACTCCCTATTGGCCACCAGCAGGATTTCGCCCATCCCGATTGGCTTCCCGGTAGGACACGCCCTCTCTCAGAAACCCCCACTTCTATCCTTACCAAGCGCGCAGCTTGACAGGCTGCTTCCCCCCCCCCTCCACATACACTGCGCACTTCGTTTATGTTCCAGCGCGGCCCCTCCTTCCATATTCACCGTGTAATAGGAAAGCAGTCCAGCGTTGTAGTCGAGCACGAACCAGCGGTACTGCCAGCCTTTCATCACGTTGGTCCATTTGCTCAGCGGACCCTCCATGATAGACGCCATCTTGGGAGCCGGTAAGATGCCAAACAGCCCACTGAGGGGAACGCCGGTCTCGCGAGCGGGGGTTAAGCCAAAGGGAGGGGGCGGGAGCGAGCGAAAAGAGCGCGAGCACCGTCAATGAGCGACGTCTGAATGAAGCAGCGCGAGACGAGGAGGAGCAAAGCAGCCGCCACGGAAGGAACAAGCTGTGGGACTAATAAGTGGGAGGGCATACAGAGAGAAAGGGGCGTGGCTTTGGCGCGTAGGGTGAGGCAGAGAGAAAGGGCTCAAAGAAATCGTAAGAGGGCGAGCGTGGGTCCTCTTCGTCCCAGTGAGGCGGAGGATGCAGAAATGGGAGAACAAGAAGTCATTTCAAGCTGCCTGGTTGGCCCAAACGTTTGCTCTGTTGGCCCTCCTCAGTTTGGGATCCACGCCTATTGAATTTGAATGTTGAATTCAAAGAAGTCAGGATAAAATCAGATGTGGGAAGAGAGGAAAAAAATCTCTGTTTCAGCCTGTTCCTGAACAGGAATTTCTTGGAGTCGAGCATCAGGCAGCTGAAACGCCTTAAACAGGAGCTCCCCAAAGTGGTTAATACCGACACTCAAAGATCGATGGGGCTTTCCAAGGGGTCGATGTTGTTATTGTTATTATTAGTAGTACTTTTAAAGTAGTATTTATTATGTTCACATAATAAATGGGAGTCAATAAGCTGAAGGTTTGGGGACACATGCCATAAAACAATGCTGCTTGGGAACAAAGTTTAGCTTTTCCCCTCCGCAATATTATCTGCCTTCCTTTCTTCCCCTGAAAGAAAATAAAAGTGGGGTGGGAGGTGAGAGAGATATGTTAAGTCAAAGAAAGCAGGCGAGGTCAGCAGAGAAGTTCAACTCTTATCCTGAGAGGTTGTCAAGAGATGGCAGTTGGGGCAGGACATAGCGAAGTCTGTCCTTCCCAACCATAAACTAGGGCTGCTGTTTTGTTTTAGATACTAATACAAAAAAGGGAGTGATCAGGCCAAGTTGAAAATGGGCTTTGAGGAGAAATTGCAGAACTGGTTGAAATGTGCCACGCTGGGCTAGGGTGTGGTCTCAGCAATGAGAAGTTTTGCAAGTTTCACTGAACAGAAAAGTAAAAGCCTTGCGATATTTTTTCATGTGCAACACATACGTGTGCAAATAATTTCAGAGCATCAACATCCTAGGGCTGTGTACAGATTCAGAACTCGTGGCATCTGTCAAGAACTCCTTAAAATAAACACTCCTTTTCCCAATATTGTGTATGAACTCAGTAAAGGACAGCCGTTTCACTTTTTTGTGTGTTTGATTTGTGTACACCAAGGAGATATTTAATGTCAAATTGTGAACACATAATTTGGTTTTCCACTTTTGCCTTTTTTTCCAGAATGCTGCCAAAAACGTGCGGTAGTCTGAATTCAGAATGGTACGGTATTCAGTTTGGAAATGAATAGAGTACATTTTTTTTCAGCAGTAAAGGTAAGGTAAGCTATTCTGATATATTAAATTCTAATGACTTCCTGAATCTAGGGCTCCACAATTGTAATTTAAGTCATGAGATATTACTTAAAATGAAGCAAAAAGTTATAAGCATTATCACATTTATTTTTACAGGAGCTTATGTATCTAGTGTCTACAGTGTGGGGGAGAGGTATCATCAATATCCCAATGATGCCCAGTTATACTTTGTGTCCCATCCAAGTAGATCTAACTTTGCTTAGCTTTTTCAAGATCAGCCAAGGTTGTCTGGGAGAGCTATTTTATTCAGCTCTCTTAGGTATGTGCCTGATTATCTTAAATTAGAACTGATCAAGCATAATACCTGCTTCCATTAACCAAAGTTTTATTCTAGCAATTTTCTTTCCATGAAGCCATTCGTGTTACTGTACTTCTTAACTTAAATGTGGCTTATTCAATTAACCCAATTTTCTGAATTTGCATGATACATTGAACTATAAATTAAACAAACAGGCTGAATTTGCTCCACCCTCTAGCTTAAAATGTGTGAATCTAGCCATTGTGATTTGTTCAGCAATCATAGTTAAAATGTGTGTTAATGTAATATGTGATCTCAGCCAAGTTTCAAAACATGCAGTTCAAACTTAATATCTTAAGCCAAATCATAAAAAGAAAGTTCAAAAAGCAGCAAATAACTAATTATAACAAGGACACTTTATTTAGAATTGTGATGGACATCTAGATATACCCTGCCTCTCAGATAACAGCTGTAATTCAGCAAAAAGACAAAAGACTCCATTGGATAATATAGATGTTTGAGGCCTTTCTGCCTTGAGCAATGGTTCTTTTTCCTCTCCCCCAACAGCATGATATCTGCAAAGATTAAAGTAAGAGAGAATTAATGATTTTATGTCATTAGATTTTCTATTTCTTTTAAAATGTCATAATTGTCCTAAAAATTTTGAGATAAATTTAACTTTCAGTAAAATAAATCTCCATTTTCCTTTCCTGTAATTTTATCCCTATGATAGAAAAAAATACATCCATAAACCCCATTTATATTTAATCTTAATCTATATTTCCATTTTGCTTGTTCATATTTCCCAACCACTTAGTTATGATCTTCCTCTAATTCCCCAAACATCTCAACAGTATATTCCCATTCTGATTCTCATGGAAGTTTTTTATAATTAATTTAGCAGCTTATTATCAACAGAAGGAATTGTTTAAAAAATTGTCTCATCTATACTGTTGTGATTTTGTTTTATTTAGAAATTATTAAAAGTACAAGGCACTTAAAAATAACAGATTCATATCTGCAGATAATATAAAATTGCAAACGCACTAGGGAAAAAAATGGGAGGAGGATAGGCTATGTTCTTGAATGAATAGAATGGCTGTATCTAATTGACATTTGCTATTTAAAAGTGTTTTACTGGTTTTAAAAATGCAGCCTTCTCCATAGTATTTCAGACTTTGGAATGCTATTACATTTCTGTAAACTTGTATATAGGAGGAAGCCAATGTATTTCCTGGGTATGAATTGATTTGAATTAGTTAGGCATCTGTGCATAAAAAATTAATTTCCTTTGAGACATTTTAAGTAGTTTCTGTTGGTTTAATTGCGTGGTTCCTTCTGGTTGGTCCCTATAGCATCATTATTCATGGATTTTAGCCAATGGAAAAGATCTATCCCTTCACCAGTAAGTAGCAGTTATAGTGATGTGCGTGAGAGAAATAGGAAGAGATTTCAGTGAGGAAGATACTCAAGTATTTCTATACAGTTTAAAGAAGCCTCCCACCACTTGTATTAAAATAACTACTATGATATCAGGGATGAACCTGATTTACTTAGGTTACTTTCTGATAGGGCTGGTTTGGGGAAAACTACATGATAATGCTGATAGTTCTTCCACTGTTTTAGAAAAAGAGCAACATACTGTAATAAAAGAATATTTTAGGGAAGAGTTTGATGATGAGGGTAAGTGATATTTTGATTTTTTTTCTGTCCTAGAATATAACTGTTGATTTCTAAATCTTCTTTATAGTGTCCCTCAATCTGAGACTCATATTCTTGCTTGATTTCTTTTTTCACATTAATAAATCATAATGAATTTTGGTATGACATCATATAATCCAATGACCTGTATGCACATTTATTATCACTGTAGAAATGTATAAGAAACAGAGAAGTCTAGATTTAGCAACACTTGTCTGAGGATTTTTAGATGGATATTACAAATGTACTGAATGATGCAGGGAAGGAACAGATAAGGGATATGAAGAGATGTGTCCAGGATCTCTTATGCAGTGTGTCTTAAATAAAGATTATCAGCTATTTAAAAAATAATAAACAGTCTTCACAATAAATTTTAAAAAAGATATCAGTGCCTCTTTTGTAACTTCTAAAAGCAAAATGTCTAAAGTGGTAAGTCATCTGTAGCATGTGTTTTCTCTATATAAAAAGAAATCATTTTGTATTAACTGCCCTAATTTCAGTTTCTTTCTCTTATGTCAATTCTTAACCATTCCTATATAAATTGCACTTTTATTTATAGTGATAGATTAAATAATGATAAATTCAAATATATGTAATGCATATTAGATGTTGGCATTTGGATTGATTTAGCTTGATTAATTCTTGAATATTTGTTTCCTAAGGAGAGAAAGATAAAAATATGGAACAAATATGTTGTATGTCCTTCATTCATCTCCCATCCTATTTCCTCAGTTCTTCTAGTTTATTTTTGTATGGGAAGATCAGTACAGGTTGTTACAATTGTAAATCACTTTGTTTAGGAGATTTGCTCTACTTAACAGTTTTCATTATCTAAATTATTTCCAGCTTGAATTACCCTTTGCCCTTAGTGAGATTTTCTTATACAATAGGTGAAGATCTAAATAAATTAGGTTTCTTTTTATTATCTCTGCATGTTTAATTGCAGATTCAGTGATTTAAACACGGTACATCTCAGGCAATTCACCAGACATGATTCAACATGCATGGTAGTCCCTTGGGTCTGGGGGCAGTTATCTCAAGCTCCAGATGGCTTTTGAACATTCCTGAATAAAATGCATTTTATGAAGTTGTTTTTAATTACACATATTATTGATAAAACTTGAATTATTTTTAAAAATTTGCTGTCTTTTTCTTATATTGCTTTAAAGATTTATATAACATGAATAAGGAAGAAAATAGTTGTCATTTTTAGTATATTTTCTTGTGTATCAGTAATAAGCTATATTTGTTAAATGTTTTTGTCATGTTATTATAAGTTCATATATATTGTAATCATGTTTATTGCATTCTATCTCCTATAATGTGAATCAAATTTCACATCAACTGAAATAGTAGTGATCTGATATCTTTTGAAAAACTGAAATGTTATTTTTCTTTTTCAGATGAATGGCAGAAACGGTGGGTTCAGTCTAAACATAAAAGTGATTATGGTAAATTTCGGATAGGAGCAGGAAGATTTTATGGCGATAGAGAAAAAGATAAAGGTAAAGTAATACATTTATTTTTTCAGGCAATTCTGAAACTTTATTTTTTTGTGGAATGTTTTCTAATGAATTTCTGGATATTATTATTCAGTTTTATGCAGTTATTCACATAAGGTTGGCTAATGCTAAAGAATCTGCATAATATATTTCAAAAAGGGTTTTTTTACCTCAAAGAGAAATCCATATACTACATCACATTATCATCATTTTTAAAATTAAGAGCATTCAAAAGTTACTTGTGATTTGATACCAGAAGCTGGTGTT